CCCCCCCCCCCCAAGTGTGTCGTTTCTTCCCTTCACTCACACAAATCACGTGCCCCACTCACACTCACACAAACCCCACTGCCCCTTCCCTCACACAAATCACGTGCCCCACAGGACAACAATGACGTCAGTTCCCCCAACACCTCGACAGACGAGCCAGCAGCAGCCAGTAGCCGCCGCCTTCCCCCCAGCCCCACCCGCCACACGCCCCCACCACCTGACCACTGGTACGCTTCTATTGACGACAGGGTGCTCACTGATGACGTCACGACTCCACAACCGCCAGGCCACTACGAGCTAGAAGAGACCCCGCCCACACACATTAACAACCCACTGGACCTCACACAGCTGCTACATGTATCTGCTCCCTCTCAGCAAAGTCACTGCAAACAGTTCAATCAGACGACCACAGAACTCCCAGCAGAGCAGGCCAGGAGTAGGCCATCTGTGAACGCCTCATTAGCACAAGAAAAACTACCACCGAAATCTCTGAGCCGCAAAGCAGCAACGAAAGAAAATAGTGACACAAAACCAAAAGAGAAACGAGATCGATTTGAAGAGCCGTTGGAAACAATTCTCGGCTGCCTGTTTGAACCTCCTCCTACTACAGCCAACCCAAGTGACGCCGACAGGCCAGGGAAAAGAGAACTTCCCCCAGGATCATCGCGGGAAACCGTCAACACCCAGACGACAAGCGAGCCCAGGTACAAAGTCCCCCCCAGCCCCCACAGAGCCCAGCCCAGGAGAGACACAGCGGACCCGTTCCCACACCTCCCCTACATAGACGACCTGTCACTGCCTCAGTTTGTGTGAACGATCCTTGACTTGGTTCACACTGGATCCTCTTATAAATTCATTTAGTAGATAAATGCCTCAGTTTGTGTGAACGATCCTTGACTTGGTTCATACTGGGTCCTTTTATTCATATTATCGATTATGTTTGGCTCTACCTGTATAAATGGTTTCTTGAAAATTTCTCAACATGAAAAAACCAACCCACAAACAAAAACAAACAAACAAACAACCAAACGTACAACCAAACAAAACAACCAAACGTACAAACAAACAAAACAACCAAACGTACAAACAAGAACAAAAAAACCTGTCTGGTTTAAATCATGACAGAAGACACAGACGTGAGACTATAACTACGATATTTTTGTACTTCTCATGTTGCTTTCAGACCGGATCGACGTGTTCATATCGCTGCTGTCATGCTCTACCCTTGTTACTGCCTTCCCCATCCTCCTCCTCCTCCTCCTCCTCCTCCTCCACATTGTCTTCATTTTATCGTAGTTGTACAGTTTAAAAAATATATATAATTGGAGAATTCAATTTTTTTTAAATTTGCACAATAGATGTATTACAAACAAAGTTCAACATTTTTCCCAAATTCAAGATTCACCAGGAACATTGCTACGTGAAACAGCAACACCATAGGTTATCATCATCATCATCATCATCATCATCATCATCACTATCATCGCTACTTTTGCAAACGTGTATCTAGTTTAACGCCATGTTCCAACATTCCCACTGTACTCAGTTGCCAGCGTTCCTTCATCTCCAACATTCCTATTTCAACTCTTGTGGACACTTGTCATACTTTGTCAAGTCCATGTCGGTGTTTTTGAGTCCCCATCGACACAAAGTAGACTATTTAGGAGCCACGCTAAGACCTTGCCTATCAAGGCCAGCCCGGGCTAAGAGAGATTCAACGTCCCAGCAGACAGACCAAGGTAATACTCGATAAAAATCCTCCCAGCACAGGAATTGAACCTGGGTCTCCTGCGTGCAACAGTAAAGTACCTAACTACTACACCATAGGGGCCGGTGGCTGCTGTTCTTCCCCACGAACACTGTACAAACAAACATGCAACAAAACATCTGCTGGCCTATCATTTCCTTTTTTTTGATGATCTTTTGCTCTAACTGACATTACTCAACTGGAAAGTCACAAGACAACCATTCTTGTACGAATCTGTTCAATGAATACATGTACACCTGTCATATGTTTGTTTTCTACGGTCATGGATTGAAGCCTGTATGTATTTTTTAGGTATTCTTATCGCCATCGTCCATTGCTGTAAATATTGCTTGTGTGAAATAATGTTTTAGAGAAGGAAGTGTCTTCAACAACTGTTCAAGAAAAATCAATTGCACATACATTGAAATTGATGTATGTATAGATCTACATCTCATGTGTTCTCATTACGTCCTTCAAATTACTAAATTTCACAAAAACTTTATTTTTATTTAACTTTGTTGACCAAATCATTTACATTAAATTAGCCATATTATTTTCTAAACGCAAACTGCAGCTTTATATTCGTCCTGCTTCGCTTCGCTTTTGGTGCCTCGCTAATGTATGGCCGTGGACACTTACCCAGAGAATAAAAAGACTTCGTTAAAACTGCTTGACCAGCAAGTGTTTGTTTGTTTTGTTTTATTCATGTAAGTATTTTTACGCCCCCATTGACACATTTCGATCATTTTGACCCTACCTATCAGAGCCGACCAGGGATACGTACAACGACCCAGGACTTAGACCGAGATACTCCATAAAAATTCTTCCCATACCTAAATATCATTTTTTTAAATTATAGTGTGTTATAAGAAATTGTACAACAAATAAAGAAGTTCTGGGTGGGTTTTTTTTTAAAGTAACTTACTGATTTTGAACATTTCAGTTTGCCTAATTTTTATACAAGAATTCATTTTTTTCAGATGGTCTGCAACAAAAGATAAAGCCTTATTGTTAAAAATAAGTTCAGCAAATACATAAAGGACAACCAGACCCACCAGACTTGACATAAATACATCATAATAGAAATAAAAGTACTTGCACCAATAAATACAACAAAAAAACGATCTTTCAAAAATTGTCTTTATTTCAAGTTGAGCAAAACTACAAAAAATACATTCTGGTTCTAGTGTGAGTTTTACGGCACTTGCAGCCCATAAGTCACAGAAATGCCCCGGATAAGAGGTGCTACTAGTGGTGCTACACAAAGGTAACATACAAGGGGGAAAAAAGAGGATAGATCAGGGAAAACTTTTGAAACTACGGTTGAGAAAGAGGAAACAACTGCAGCAATTTTTATGAAAACCTGGAATTTTGAACATCTGCGTATGTCGCAAAATAAAAAAGGAATATATTGTTCAACAGAGCCTAACAGAAACATTCATAGCCAGAAACGATGTAGCAAGCAGCAGGAAAATCACACTGATGACTGAACTGATGAGTTTCTTATGGCACTTGAAGAAACACAAGCACGTCATATATAGGTCTAAGGACTGGAGATTACAGTACAGGTGTTACTACGAGAGATTGCAGTACAGGTGCTGCTACGAGAGAGAGACCTACAGGGAGAAGAAGGAGGAGATATAAGAAGACACATGTTTGAGAGGAAAAAAGCTAACCACATCAGAACATCTTCCACCCACCGGCACAAACTTGAGTGAGGTGAGGAGACCGACAACTGAGTGAGGTGAGGAGACCGACAACTGAGTGAGGTGAGGAGACTGACAACTGAGTGAGGTGAGGAGACCGACAACTGAGGAAACTGACTACTGGCCCAGTGCCCAGTCAGCGGAGATGAGGAAACTTTCAGGTGGAGATGAGTACACCTTGTCACGTAATCCCAAACCAAACAGTTCAGATAAGAAAGTGAGTGAAGTGTTAGTCTTAACGATACAAAAACACAGATACCGTTACATAATCTCGTCAACTTGAACAAATATACACTTGAGCAACAATATAAGGCACCGTACAACTGTCAGGAGACTAGTATAAGAAACACTCTATATAAACAACAATTTGCTTCATTCATCACGTAAAAGTTAAATAAGGCACAAATATTAATCACAAAAATTGAAATTTCAAACCATAAAAAAAGAAAGTGTAAAGGTAATCCAAAAACAACAAATTATTGCTGAGCATAGACATGTTAGAATTCAGAAAGTTGGAAAGTATGTTAGTGGAATGTACTGATCAGTAAAAAAGTAAATTGAGATGAGCCAAGCAGCATTAGAACAAGTATAGAATATAAATGTTATAATATATATATATAATATATATATATATATTCAGATCTAATATGTTAAACTTTTTTCCCAGTCAATAAATACATTGCTTTGTGGTTTAAGTTACAAGAGTAGGAAAATTGGACAGAACAATAAACCCAATCAGAGAAATCAATCATAGAAGAAACAAGGTTCAAACAAAGGAATTCAGGCTAAAAGCTGAAAATAATAATAATAATAATAATAATAATAATAATAATAATAATAATACAAAGAAGTTGCATTTGTATTGCCTGTCTTCGTCTCAATGAGATGTTCAAAGTACGTCACAAGAAACAAAATCACAGTTATGTCAAACACACACAGTGTCAAGAAGGAGAAAAATCCTCTTCTAAAACATTACTATTAATACTATTGCACACTGCTCAAACATACTCGCACAGTGACAAAAATCCATTGACAAAATAACAGGTATGCTGACACACAACTATAATTCAGCAAACACAGAAAACACTCTGCTCAAACGTACTTGTACAGTGATAAAAATCCATTTACAACATTTAGTTTTAGTAAGTGTTTTACGGCACTTGCAACAATATATAAGGTCATATAAGTGCCGAAGATTAGAGGTGTTACAAGAGAGTAACAAACACAAAAAAGAAGAAGGGGAGATAAAGACGATAGATGTTTGATAGGAAAGAAGAAGCAAACCACACCAGAGCACCCGCCAACCACCCACCTTTACAACATAACAGGTATGTTGATATACAGCTATAAATCAGCACACACACAGAACACAGTTAGAGCTAGACATACAATATAGGGCATGGTTACGGGTAACAACTCGCAGTGTTGAAGAAATTGAGTCTGCTTGTCGGATAAAGCTATGTTAAAATAGTCTATGGTGATCAAAAAAGTCAGCACGTTACAAAATCTATCAGTAGTGACCCAGATGGTGTAGCTCGACTCTTTAGCGATGGAAGTTACTTTGGTGCTATTTTCTTGCCGTTTTTACCGCTGAAACCAAGGGAACTTACCTCTTTCGACCACAAATATCTTCACTTCTGCTCAAAATAGAAGGGCATTTTTTTCATCAAATGCAAGATAAATGAACCAGCTTTACGACGATACCAATAACTCTACATGCACAGAAATTGACGAGCGCCTGATTCCACCGCGCCGTGACACATTTCCTGCCTGAAAGTGCATTTTGCCGCGGGTCACCACGTTGTCTCAGAGTCTAAGAACATATACAGTGAGGGTCATGACCTTGTCTGGGAGTCCAAGGACGTGTACTGCGCGGGCCTCAAGGACATACACGATGACCACGGCTGAGCAAACAGCTCCTCCACATCCTCCAGTCTCTTCCCCCTCGTCTCCGGCAGACACTTGGCAAAGAACGCCAGACCCAGGATAGACATACAGACAAATAGCCAGTACGTCCCTGAAACACACAAACGTCTGGTCAGTATATTTCCACAATAAGGAAAATCCTTTTTAAGTTATTTGATAATTTTCACATCAAAGTTTAAAGAGAACAAATGGATATTACTCTTAGCTTTAGAAGAACTAAATTCCTTCTAGCTGGCATCCTGAAACAATTGTTCAACAGCAGCTCCACTAGAAGGAAATGAAACTGCACTATAGGACAAAGGGAAATCTCTCCCCCAATAAAATGAGAGCATTGTAGGAATGTGGAAATTAAAGACATTTTCATCTACTGTTGTGAAGTAAATACAGATATAAATGTTTGATTTTTAACAAGTTTTCGTACTAGTTTAACGGCACTTGCAATAGAAATAGGTCATCATGCAAGTGACGAAGATTAGAAGTGTTACTTGAGAGGAATATACAAAGAAAAGAAGGAGGAGAGATAAGGACAATTGGTGTTTGATAGGAAAGAAGGAGCAAACCACACCAGAGCACACACCAACCATCCACACTATGATTGGCTGCGTCAGTTCTATATCTAGTCCATGAAGCAGAAGAGGCAGACAAAAAGCGACCAAAATTCCGCCAAAACCCACCATATTTGGTGAGCGTCTCAGTCAGGGTGAGGAAGGTCATGGACACCAGCAGGTTGGCAACCCAGTTTGTGGCGGCAGACAGCGAGTTCCCCGTCGAGCGCGCCCACAGCGGGTAAATCTCCGAGTTGATCGTCCACGGCATGGGGCCCATTCCTTGGGACGTTTGGGAGATTCATAGAATAAGTTAATCACTGTTGTAACTGTGAGATTCATATAACAAACATTCATATAACTGTATTTGTATAGTGCATCTCCACAATCTACAGAATGCTCGATGTGTTTTACAACTGTTATTTAAAATCCAACAGATCCTAGAACACTCGGAAAAATTCTTAGCAAAAATTTAAGGAAGAGAGAAAAAAAACTTCCATTCTTCTAAGGACTCTACCTATCTTATCAATCTTTTCTTGCTTTTTCAACATTTAGAATTTGAACTTTGACAAATCATTTTATGCACACATGCAACCCATATCACAAATTAAGAAACGGCAATAAAAAATAATTAATTTTTTTAATTTAAAAAAAAATTTTTTTTTAAAGAAACTTCAATGAAAAAAAGTTTTTCAAAATGTTGGGCTTCGATCATCTGAAAAGCTGGTGGACAATCCGTTAACGATTTGTTCACTTCACGGACCTGGGGCAAAGAACATGAGGTAGAGCACTAGCCCCATCACGGCCAGCCAGGAGAAGGGGGTGGGGCAGTAGTCGTATGCCCACACCTGCCCCGTGGGGAGAGTCGTGTTCTCACAGCGCCCGAAGTCAGCGTGCGCGTTCCTCGACGGGTGTGTCGACACGCACGTGCCATTGATGGAGCCCGACGTGTCGGAGTAGCAGAAGCCACAGTGGGTGTCCTCGATGCACGACTCGCACCACCTGGGGGGGACAGACGACAGACAGTTTGGGGGAGACATCTTGATACGTTTTCCTTTGCGGTTTTCGTTTGAATAGAGAGAAGATTAATGATACTATAATATTGGTAATTAAACGCAGGGAAATAGAAAGATGGACAGAGGGAAACTACAGAGGGAAAGAAAAGACGTAGGACCTATCAGAGGGAAAGACAAGAAGTTGGACCTATCAGAGGCAACTTTGTTTGAATTAAAGAGAAGCAAATCAACACACTAACGGTTATTTTGTTTGTTTAAATAGATAGAAGTACAACAACACAATGATGGTTATTTCGAGCGGGGAGACAGAAAGAGTAAGATGGAGAGACAGGAATTACAGAGAGAAAGAAAAGAAGTAGGACCGATCAGGGGCAATCTTGTTTGAGGAAAACAAAGTACATCAACACAATAGCAGTCAAGTAGTGCTGGGAAAAAGCAAGATGGACAGACAGAAATAACAAAGGGAAACGGAAGAATTAGGACATAGCAGTTGCACCCTGACTTATGCCGAGACTAACTTTATAGTTTAAAATATGAGAAGCCTGCCTATAACCATCAATAATTTATTTATAGAAGCACCAGCCATCCATGTCCAGGTGCTGTTTTAGCCAACCCGGCCTACAACTGTAAGAACAAAAGGACCTGTCTAAGCCAGACTTACCTGTAAGAAGAACAAGAGGTGTTGAGATGACCGTGGTCAAACTCTGAAATGGCCGGAGAGTTGTAGGCTGCCAGCTGGAAAGCGACGGCCATGACTGCCAGGCTGAATATCACACCTGGGAATAAATATATGAGAATAAACATAGAGTCAAGCTCTAACCATGTAACTAATAACTACGGCGAGGGGGGTTAGTTTCATTTTTCAAACAACAGAAAAAAATCTTTGTGGTTGTTTAAGTTTTAGTAGAAGTTTTACGGCACTCGCAACTGCATAAGGTCATATGAGTGCCAGAAGATTAGAGGTGTTACAAGAGAGTAACAAACATAAAAAAGAAAAAGGGGAGATAAAGACGACAGATGTTTGATAGGAAAGAAGAGGCAAACCACACCAAAGCACGCGCCAACCACTCACTCTTTGTGGTTTGATTCATCATAGTAAGCATGAAAGTAACAGTTAGCCCCCATGACAATAGATGTTGTCAAATCAACCACACATTTTGTAAACATGTCCTCACTTTAGGTGCACTTCATACAATGAAGTATGCTGCAGTGAAAATGATGGGTGCGTCTGACATCTACTCACTGTGGCACACTTCATAGAACAAAGTTTCCCTTAAGTCTAGACGTGTAGGCAAAATGTATATATATATATAACAGAGCAGGAGTCAAACGCGCACCAATCATGGAGTAAGCCACAGTGAGCTAGGGTCACACACGCACCAGTCACACACCACTCACACACGCACCTATCATGAAGTTAACCGCAGTGAGCAGGGGTCACACACACACACGAATCACACATGGGGCTAACACACACACCTATCATACTGCCCATCAGAAGCCTCTTGCGTCCAATTTTCTCCACCAGCCAGACGCCCACCAGCGTAAACAGGAAGTTAACGGCAGCTGTGACTGCGGCCAGCCAAATGGCTGTGTGTTCGTCGCTCACCCCCGACATCCTGATGATGGTGGCACTGTAGTACCTGGGGAGGAAGGAGCAGACAGGCAAAGTCTGAGACCCACCACTTTGTTTTCCCTGAGTTTTATATTTGTACATAGAACATTTAGAAGAAAGCCCACTCTTCAGCCTTCAAAGACAGCATTCAATATTCCTGAGAGAATAACGTCCAGATTTTATGACTTTGAACATAAGAATTCATAAAACTGTAGGTTCCGATAGCAATATATATCATCATGAAATACTTCAGAGAAGTAAATTTCACATAAGAATCCACCCAACGTTGACTGGTGTGTTCTTTGGTCAATTGGTCAGTTCATTTCTAACCTAATCATAGACTCCCTGCTCCTTTCCCACTGACAGCAATGACATTCAAGGCACTTATTGTTGGCTCTGTAGACTTACAAGACAGTGTAGACTTACAAGACAGTGTAGACTTACAAGACAGTGTAGACTTACAAGACAGTGTTGACTTACAAGACAGTGTTGACTTACAAGACAGTGTTGACTTACAAGACAGTGTAGACTTACATGACAGTGTTGATTCCCCCAAACTGTTGGAACAGCTGCAGCCCACACCCCACTACGAGCGCTCGTCTCACCGGCGGGGTACTCAACATTCTCACCAGCGTCGCTCGACCTGAGCAGAAGAAAGATTTTGGAGTTCTTTTTTAGATTTCGTCATTTTAAGGCAACTGTAACCTAAATAGGTCATGTTAGTGGAGATTAGAGGTGTTACTAAAAAGTAACATACATAAAAAAGAAACAGGAAAGAAAGGGATAATAGACGTTTGATAGGAAGAAAGGAGTAAGTCATACCAGAGCGCCCGCCTACCATCCACAAACTTTGTAACTACCCAGGGAAAATCTTGCAGTAACTGCCACACGGTAGTGATAAAGCCAGAAACTGATAAACCCCCAACTTGTTCACATCTCTCGTTTAAAGTTCGACAAAAGAAAAATACAAGTCAAAAATGTCAAATACGGCTGTTCATTGCTGAGGAGAAAAGAGGTTGTCTTAAACAGAGGGACGTCTTGGGCTGTGATATTGTGATAAAGAAAAACCACACGGAGGCGAGTGAGAGGGAGCGAGGAGGGGGCGGGGAGAGGGGCGAGAGGGAGGGAGATGGAGGGAGAGAGAGAGAGAAAGAGAAATGAAATGACAGAGGGGGGAGAGAGTGGGGATAAAGAGAGAGTTTTAAATCGTAACAGAGAGAGTGGGCAAGGGGGGAGAGAGAAAGAGAGGGAGTGAGAAGTTGAACAGAAACAAGCACACTTGTTTCTCCATACCCTGGCCGGCTGTTTCCGCGCCCAGCATTTCCTTAATCTCTGCAATCTCTGAGTCCACTTCCTGCGTGCCCCGGAGCTTGACAAGCACACTACGGGCCTCCGCATCTCGCTCCTTCCTCAGCAGCCAGCGGGGACTCTCGGGGAGGAACAGGAAGCCACACAGCTGGACCAGGGAGGGGAGGGCGGCCAGACCCAGCATGTACCTGTGACAGACAGGGGGGAAATACAGGTGTTTTGTGTGGTCATACATGTACCTGTGACAGACAGGAGAGAAATACAGGTGTTTTGTGTGGTGATACATGTACCTGTGACAGACAGGAGGAAAAAACAGGTGTTTTGTGTGGTCATACATGTACCTGTGACAGACAGGGGGAAAATCCAGGTGTTTTGTGTGATCATACACGGCCCATGTACCTTCAACAGATGTAGAAAAATACAGGAATTTTGTGTGAAGATACATGTCGCAGGTACCTTTAACATATGGGAGAAAAATTCAGGTGTTTTGTGCGGTCATACACGTTCCCATATTGCTGAACATAACTCTCACAAGTCATAGGGCTATTCCCTGCTTTGTTGCAGCATGTTTTGATGGAAATATGTAAAGAAAGAAAAAGACAGGATTCAAGCATGCATTACCCACCAAACTATTCAGAGAAGGATGCGGATTTCAAGTACGAGGATAGAGTAGCAGTGCAGGGAAACAGATGTTTCTGGACAATGAGGAAAACAAAGGAAAAAAACAACAATGCAGCATCTCGCTTGTAGACATGACAACTTCCAAGAGTTAACAGAACAGACACCAGGTGTATGCAAAACGTCAAGTCTGCCGGGCCTCATTTGCATACAGTGCGTTGTATTTGGTGACTTCTGGCCAAGGTCATTCACAGGAGGGTGCTGTGTAAAAGTGTGTGAGTATGAGTGTGTGTGTGTGTGTGTGTGTGT